TGTTTTAGGGTGAATTTGGGGGTCAGTTTTGGGGGTCCCAAGCCCCCTCCTCACCCAGGCTGCGATTTGGGCTGTTTTAGGGTAATTTGGGGGTCAGTTTTGGGGGTCCCGAGCCCCCTCCTCACCCAGGCTGAGATTTGGGCTGTTTTAGGGTGAATTTGGGGGTCAGTTTTGGGGGTCCCAAGCCCCCTCCTCACCCAGGCTGAGATTTGGGCTGTTTTAGGGTGATTTGGGGGTCAGTTTTGGGGGTCCCGAGCCCCCTCCTCACCCAGGTTCAGATTTGGGCTGTTTTAGGGTGAATTTGGGGGTCAGTTTTGGGGGTCCCGAGCCCCCTCCTCACCCAGGTTCAGATTTGGGCTGTTTTAGGGTGAATTTGGGGTCAGTTTTGGGGGTCCCGAGCCTCCTCCTCACCCAGGTTCAGATTTGAGGTGTTTTAGGGTGAATTTGGGGGTCAGTTTTGGGGGTCCCGAGCCCCCTCCTCACCCAGGTTCAGATTTGGGCTGTTTTAGGGTGAATTTGGGGTCAGTTTTGGGGGTCCCGAGCCTCCTCCTCACCCAGGTTCAGATTTGAGGTGTTTTAGGGTGAATTTGGGGGTCAGTTTTGGGGGTCCCGAGCCCCCTCCTCACCCAGGTTGAGGCAGGCCAGGGTGTTGGTGCACTTCCACTCCTTCTCGTGCGTCGCCACCTTCACGTCGTCCATCACCAGGGGCACCCACCCCCCAAAAACGTACATCCTGGGGGGGGGGCAAAGGTCAGGGTGGGGGTCAGGGTGGGGGGGACACCCAGAGACCCCCACCCCCCAAAATTCCCATTTTTTTAGGGGTCACAAAACCGTTTAAATTAATGTATCGATTAAAAAATTAAAATAAAATGAATTATTCCCCATTTAGGGACTCCAACCCCCCCTGGGGTGGGGGCAGGGACACAAAGGGACCCCCGAGGGGGGGTTTTTTTTGGGGGGGGGGTCGCCCCCAGACTCACTTGTTGCCGATGGTGGTGGCTGAGTGGAGGCTGCGGGGGAGGGGAGCGACCCCGCTCAGGCTCGGCTTGTTCCAGGTCAGCGTCTCTGAAAGACCCCAAAACGCCCCAAAATGTGAGGGAACGGCCCCAAAATG